CTCAACACCTTGGCTGTGCCTAAAAATCCTGTCCATTAAGTTATGAACAGAATCTGTGAAAAAGGTAGCCTTGGTGTCCAAATCGCACCAAAAATGTGCCAGCAATGTGGACCAAGCTCTGGCACTGGTCATACCTAACAACACATATTAGGTGCCTGGTACCCCATACTCCAGAAGTACCCTCCACAGGGCCTCCCGAGTGACACGGTTGAAGGCCTTCTCCAAATCCACAAAACACATGTAGCTCGGTTAGGTGAACTGCCATGCACCCTCCAGGACCACCGTAAGAGTATAGAGCTGGTCCAGTGCTTCATTGCCAGGATGTAAACCACATAGCTCCTCCTTGATCTGAGAAACCTTCAGAACCCCTACATAGACCTTACCAAGGAGGTCTGAAATACTAAGGCAGCATGTTAGGTTTTCTGAAATTTGAACTTGTGTCAGACCCTCTCAGGTAGACATCTATAAATGCTGCCAGTGATTAAAGAATCTCCTGCAGACATGCTGTCTGACAGGAAGCTCCAATGGCTGTTAGCTCTGACCACATGGAGCACTGAGACATAGGTAGTCATGCTACCATACTCCCTGAATGTGCCACTTTTTATCTTTATGATAAATGATAAATGACCCGCACTTGTATAGCACCTCTCAGAGTAAGGACTCCAAAGTGCTTTACACTACAGTGTATCATTCATCCATTCACACACACGTTCACACAATGATGGTGATGAGCTATGATGTAGCCACAGCTGCCCTGAGGCACACTGACAGAGGCGAGGCTGCTGAGCACAGGCGCCACCGGTCCCTCTGACCACCACCAGAAGGCAAGGTGGGTTAAAGTGTCTTGCCCAAGGACACAACAGCAGAATTCTCTGTCCGGAGCCGGGATCGAACCTGCAACCTTCCAATTACTGGACAACCCGCTCAACCTGTTGAGCTACTGCTGCCCCCAACTTGATAATGCATAAACATTTTTTTACTTCTTTCATTTCAACAGAACTCTTTCTTTGACCTAGCTATTCAATAAAAAAACATGGAACTCATGTTTGGTGGACGTTCAGTAGAGCTACATGATCTGAGACACTTCTGCTTAAAACCAGAAATAAAGCACATAAACCTAAAAAAAAGGCAAATTACTCAAGGTTCTGGTGCGATTACTGCAGATCTTTAAAAAAACAAACACAATGTGTTTTCAGAGGCTTATAAGGCCCTACTGTCACCTTATCCCCACATTCTATATTTTTATAATGTGCCCTGCTTATTACACACAAACTTATTGTTTTTTTTAAATTTAGAAGCAAAATGTCTTCCTGAATATTTCAGTTTTAATTTTAGAATACGCTCATGCTATTAACAGGAAGAAAATAGTTTATAAATGCTTTTAATTTAGAATCTCCTAAATCCTCCCACTGGAGGAGCTTTTGCTGATGATTAGTTTTTTTACATCAGTAATGAACTACAATCAATTCTATGACTTTCTGCTCATTAGCCAGCAAGCTTTCCCCTCATCTTCTTCGCTAGGGAGCCAAAAACTTTAATGAAACTCTGTAAAGTCCGCACTGATTCATTACTAACCAGAAATGTCAGCTACAGTTCTGCTTACCACCTGGCATTGTTTTTATTGCCAGATAGCATTAGCTTATTGAGCATTACCATATATCAGCATCCCTGGAGTCCCGGAGGGGTTCTCACTTGGATAAGTCTTGTGCACTGACAGCTCTTGGATGGGTAGGTCACATTTGTTGACCATGTTTGGACTATCCATCAACACTTTTAGTGCTTTAAGATAATTGAGGGCAGGATGGGTGACATCATATAAAAGAATAGTAAAATGCTCGTTCATTGGACTGGAGCTTCTTTGGCGGCACTGAGTTTAAAGGTCTGTAAGCATAGAGTTACCACCTGGGATTATTTAAATTTATCATGTAATATAATACTTATCTGAAAGTTGTCATCAAATACACAAAATTATAATAATGGTCCAATATAATAAAGAAATACAATTAATTTTGTTTCAATCAATTTTGGTAATTACACACAAAAGGAAAAAAGCTTTCAAATTTTGTGAACCTGAAAAAAAAATTCTTATTGTTACTTATTGTTGTTTAATTTCCATAATTTATAAATATTGGTATGAAACTGGTAAATGAGTCATGGCGGCCTGAGATTAATATACGCCCGTGTGTGTGTGTGTGTGTGTGTATATATATATATATATATATATATATATATATATATATATATATATATACATACACATAACAACCTAAGTCTGTTATTCTCACAGACTGAGATTGTTTACTAGCCTGGCAAGCCATCTTATATGTAATAATATAGTAAGTAAGTAATGTTTATTTGTAAATTACATTTCATAGAATGAATAAGAAAGAGCTTCACAACAGCAAAGTGATAAACAACAACATTACAGATGACGTAAAGAGTGGCAACCTTCAAATCAATATAGACGCAAACCTATAAGGTATTAAAGCATAAGAGAGTTTTGTACAATTAAAATCAATCTAACCCACTAGGGATGTAAGAAAATATCAATATGGCAATATATTGTGATATTTTTTCTGTGATATATCGATATTCGAAAGCAGTGTATCGAAAATATTGATATTGTAATATATTGTGACATTTTTCCAATGATATTATATCTATATTCAAAAGCCATGCATCAAAATTTGGAAGAATTTACATGCAAAGATTTGTGTATTTTCTTTGTTTTTGGTGCAATTCAAACACCGACCGCTAATAGGCAGCAGTGTGCAGTGGGTTTTGTTTCCACCACTGAAATGTAAATCCCTCTATTATTGTTCAGATACCTCATGTTAAACACGTTAAAGTGACAGTGTGTATTTTTTTCTGGCGATAGGGGGCAGTAGATACCTAAATCGTAGCAAGCAAGCAGTATTTTCGTGTTGGAGTAAGATCAACCAACAGATGCTCACTAGGGTCAAAAAACCAAGGGTAGTGGAAACTTTAGCTAAATAACAAGCACATGAGACTCCCTTTCATCACTGGCAGAAAGTGAAGAGGTAAATGTGTAAAACAACAACATTTAAAGAGCAAGTCACCCCCAAATAAACTTTTTTTTGCTGATAAACTAAATAAACGAGTGTCTAATCGTGCTGCAGACACGTGTCGTCAATAATTTGGCACTTCAGTGCATCTTAGTTAAAATTAAAATATTCTGCCTAAAACTGGCAGTGTTGTGCCGTTGTCAGGTAAAAATTCTGCACTGTATTTTAATTTAAATCTGCCACCGCTATTGGCTAAGAAGTATGCTATGATGTAAACTGGTACATTATGATGTCACAATGCTGTCGTGAGCCTGAGTGTATGTGTATTTGTTAGCGGCTCCGCCCCCTCGGTCTGCCAGGCAACAGCATGTGTTGCATTTTTCAAACATGAAGTGGGAGTGGAGTTAGACTCTGGTAGGGGTTGACTTGCTCTTTAAGAATGATGAAAGTTTTGTAACCATTTGTTACAAATCAGTAACTGCATTTTGCCCTCATGGGCTCCCGTAGAACAAAATATGGCATCTAATATGGCGTGGCCCAGAGACTTAGACCCACTCCCATCTTTTTTAGACCCGATTTTTATGGTTATATGTTACAAAATTGCAAATATTTTTCAATAACTGGGCATCATGTCATTCCTTTTAACAACATTTTGATGGATATTTCCAGAAGTTAATGGTAAAACCCCACTCATTGTCTCTTTAGGTAACAGTTTGGACTGTTTATTGAATTTTCCTTTAATAAATTCATTCTAAAAATTGCTAATATCATCTGACTGAATGTATCGCAATATTTTGGGATATATTGTATCGTCTCCCCGTATCGTGATAAGTAGTGTATCGCCAAAATTTCACCAATATACATCTCTAGAACCTACGATAAAATAAATATAAACACACTATAGGGCTGGGCAATGTTGCCTAAAACCAATTCCACAATATACTGAGGAGTTCACCTCGATAACGATAAATGGACCATAACTATATGTATGTGCAAAAAAAAGTTGTCCTCTAGATGGGGCTGTCACGTGTATTACGTTGAGTCACATTGTCATGTGACTTGAGGAGGTACAGCTTCTTAAAGGGACATGAATGTCGCATTCCCACACACATCTTTCCATTTATTTTATTACCAAGTTTATTGACAAGGGAAAAATGATATCGGTTGGAGTCAGAAATTTTGATAGCGATCATTTTTTGATTTACTATGCAGCCCTAATACTCTATAAATCATAAAAGCATAGAACCAAATTTACAAAATTAAAATCAGTAAAATTTATTCAATTAATGGAAAAAATAATAAATATAGTCTGGCCATGACCCATAGATCGAGCTCAGTTGTAGGCTGGAATCTATGGTTGTCTTTCAAACCGTCTTTGCATGCGATTGGACAATGATCACTCACTGTTACGGATGTCGTCAGTCTGCCATTCATTGTCGAATAAGATGCAAATACATCCTTTTTATTTAATAAAGAACTTAAGTACCTCTATCTGCTCTTGACTCAAAGAAAAATCAAATTCTAAATAGTCCAAAGTTAATATCAGGCTTTTCAAATAAACCATCGTCATCTTAATTGTTTCGCTCACACTCATCACCCTGCCCACCAAATCAATACAGCGTTGTGATTGGCCCTCCAAACTGACATAATTTGGCCAGAGGTAGATCTGCTGAGAGTCCTATAGAGTGTTGCTAGACCGACATGCAGAGCAAAATCATTTTGCTTCGGCTACTGTCTGTCTAGAGCTCTAGGCTTATTGTTTTGGAACATTTATTATTGATATTGATGCTATGTTGGTTGTGTAATAAAAAGCAAAGACCCTTCACATTTTTGAAACTGCAGTAGCCTAGGTGCCAGTATAAAAGTGTTCAACAGTATGGATATGAAGAAAAAATGTCCACTGATTTAATGTCGGTGTGTGTGTGGCTTCAAAAACTATTTTAACACAGTTATAGCATATTTAAATGACCTTACCTGAAGCCAAACTTGTCCATCGCAATGGCAAAGTGCCTTGGCTGATCGTAACAATGGTAGAGGTTCCGATCGTCCATCGGGATCAGATCCACGTCGCTGAAGATGAAGCAGTCGTACTCGGCGTCTTTGAGAGTCTCCGTGTAGCCAACGTTCAACAGCTTGGCACGATTGAAGGTATCCTCACCCAACTGCCAAAACAATGAGAAGAATTCATTATAAAAAGACAATAGAGAGTAAAGTAATGTCTAATTACAGTAAAAGCTTAATGACCTGTAAAAAGAATATGTTTAAAATGCAAAAGCAAGCTTATTAGGTTCTCTTAGGTTCAGCAACCAAACAAAACAATACAAAAAACTAGGAGTCAGTAAATAGATGACCTTACAGCCTGGATCAACTCTTACAGGAAAGCCACAAAATAAAGCTGTGTGGTTAGGGTAAAGTGTTACCATTACAGGACAGAAGGTATTAAAAGTCAAACTCTTAGTTTAAAGAAATTCCTTCATCACAGAATTCAGCCAAGTCTCAGTTTTAAAATCACTAATCAGAATCCAACTATCAAGATCCATTCATGAGGCATTTAAGCAACCAAATACACAGTTTTTTCACATTCAATCTATCCAAGTTTATTTTCTGAATGTTAGTTCAAGAGTTACTTTAGAAAAGGGGACAAAACTAAATTACAAAGATAAATCAGAATGTCACCCACATAGCTAGAATGAGTGGTCAGGATTAAGCAGGGGGACCAAAGGAAACTGATCTGAGACAATAATAATATATATCATGTACATATCCTATCTTGGTCTTTGTGGCCACTAACCAAAGACTATCCACTCAAATCCATAATCTCCCGTATAATGGGATATCTACTGGGTTCCATAAAAATGAACACTTTCTAGAAACATTGATAATCTGACCAAATTATATGAAGTTGATTGAGTGCTTAAAGATCTTTGAAGCTATTAAACTTCCTTCAGATATATTTATGAATGATGTATCACTTTATGGTAAGTGGTTTCCAGACTCTTGAGTTATCACGGGTATCCTGTATGAGTCTTTGCTTAGGTCAAATTAATTTAGTCACATTTAAGCCAGAAAATTTTCTCTTTGTCACCTGATTCACCTGGCAATCAATTTTAATCATTTCACCCTTGCTGAAAAGATTGAGAAAAAGTCTACTTGGCCAAAGACAAAGTCACAATTTAAGGCAACAGAGCATCAATGAACATCAGTATTTAGTGCCTGCAGTGCTGGTCTGCTCAGTATTTATTGCGACACGCTGTATGATTTGATGAGTTCATTGTCAACAGGAGCTGTAAAATGCATCTTTGTTCTCAGTCTCAGCCTGGCCCATGCTCAGGACTTATAGGAAAAGATACATGAATACTTTCCTGACAGCTCAACGGTGTGAGACAGTAAAGATGAATATATCTGTCTGTTTTAAATGTAATAATGCACAAATCTCTCTTACCAAGGTATCCTATGCAACAAGATGGAGTAGTAAGTTCAGGTTCTTGTCAGGCAAATGGAAGGACAGCAAACTAGAGGTGAAACTATGTAACCTAACCATGTCTTTTGAGTATGTCACGACTTTTAAGTAATGCATGCCTGCTCAAAACAGGTTGTGAAGAATGGGATTGGACACAAACATTAAAATCTATTGCTTTTGTTGGTAGCTGGCAACACAGACCAGACCTACACAGAAACATGTATTCAATATTTGCAACTAACTGTAACTTTTTACTATACATGGCCATAAAAATCAAGTAAAGTGGAATGCTCCCTGCAAGTAAGGAGAGACTTTTTGCCTCAAGCAGAAGACTTGAGGTTTCTTGATGTCTTGTCCATGAATGATGGAAGGAGAGAGACTGATCATTCAGTTAGAGCCAAGAGGCAAAGTACTCCATAGTCAGTAGTTATAAGTTCTGTCTTTCTCTTTAATGATCAACAGATCCCAGATAGGCTACAAACACGTCCACTGAGCTGTCTCTAGAAGAAGAAGAAGGAGAAGAAAATATCATTTCTATAGCGCCTCTGAAGATAAAAATCACGAGGCGCTTCACAAAAACAAAAAATGTAAAAATATAAAAAAGAATTTAGAAAATGGTTAAAAACATATTTTAAATGAGCAAAAAATAGACTATTGTGATTAAAAAATGTTAAGAAAGAGAGAGAGTGAATAGGAAAGAGGGAAATCAGTGGATCCTGAGGAAGATGGAATAGGTGGGGAGAGCAGAATAAAGAGAGAGTGGTGAGGAAGGTCATACAAAAGCCAGTTTGAACAAGTGAGTTTTTAGCAGTTTTTTTTAAAGGAGACCACTGAGTCCACTGATCTCAGGCTCAGGGGGAGAGAGTTCCAGAGTCTGGGGGCCACAGCAGCAAATGATCTGTCACCTTTGATATTTAGCCTGGTACGCTGCACAACCAGTAGGCTTTGATCACTGGACCTCAGGGACCTGCTGGGGGTGTAGGGACTAAGAAGATCACCAATGTAAGACGTGCTTGTCCATGTAAGGCCCTATAGACCAGAACCAGGATCTTGAAATGAACCCTGAAGTTGACTGGCAGCCAATGAAGCTGGAGGAAAAGCGAGGTGATGAGGGTGTGTTTGGAGATCTCTACCCACCTCTACTGGGTGGGTAGAGATAACATAAGAGCTCCATCATCCTTGGGCAATTAGGGACAAAGCTACTGCTCCTTCTCACCAGAAAGAGTTAATGGAGGTGGTCCAACACCTCCTGGTAAACTTCATCTGAAAGTCTTTTGAACAGAATGAGTAGACAATGGCACAGATAAGGAACATATTAGAGGGATCATACTGTATACCCTCTGTAGAAGGTCTTGGTACCCCTCCAGGAGTGATGTCAATATTTCCTGCCTGGATCTGTTTCCAGGCAGGAAAACAAAAACAGTGAGAGTCACCTAAAAAGTCTAAAAACACCAAGTATAGTATTATTTAGTGTAATGTTTTATTTTTACAACCCAAAACCAATTCCATGTGTCTAACTTCATCATGGTTGCTACCTTATACCCGTTAGCTCCGATAGGAAACAACCCTTTCTCTAATCCTTGTGATAACTTGTAAATGTGTTTTCTTATTCATTAAATTAAGCATCAACTTTATCTTATAAGACAAATGTAAATAAAAAAATACTAATAACCTGACTCAAGCCTGTTTGCTAATTTACAGATGTGGCTAATGTTTACAGAACTTGAATGCAAAACTGGTAAGAAATAATATAAGTAGCGATTATTTTAAGTTTTTTTGGGGGGGGCTAAATATCCCTTATTATTTAATTGAAAGGATGTCCTACAGCAACAGACATGATTGCAAGGCAATTATATCACAACTGCAGCACAAAATCCAAACCGAATATCTCAAGTGTCTACGGTGGGAATGCCATTTTTCTTCGCAGTTAAGTACAACGGAATCCTTAGGCCCTCTGTCTATTTTTTAAGATCCCGACATGACCAGATCACTCCTCGTTAATGAAAAATGTATCATAAAAGAGGACTTCCCAGATGGATACATGTCTGTAATATCTGTATTATGTAGCAGAACAATGAACCAGTGTCATAAATTTTGCTGCAGTCACATATTCTCCAAACCATTAAAAAGGACCTCCTACTACTGACAGCAACGGGACACTTTGAGATGATAAATTCTTCGGCTGATCATCCTCCATTTCAGATCCTGATACTCTTTCTTTTTTTGTGCAACATACCACACTCATGTTTTATCTGTTTAGAACAACCGTGAATCGGGTACAGTGCATAATCCCTCTTGTAAGCCATCTAATACCTGAGATTCCAGAGCATAATCCCCGTCTGCACAGGTAGCAAAAAAACCTATTGTCACAAATCCACTTGGGCTCCAATTATCTGCTGAGGTGCTCAACCATCTGTTGAGTTCGATGGAAGATGCAGCTCAGCTCATATGAGGGTCTTGATACAAGTATGCATCATTGTTCTGTAATACAAGAGCAGTTTATTCCATGAAAGAAAGATAGTCCAGACGCTTTTCTTTCAAAGCTCATTAGACTACAATGACCTGGATGACTGAGAACCTTCACAGACATATTTTATTCCATGAAGTAAAAAGAAAAAAGCGCTAAACTTCAATCTTATCTGAACTTGTTTCAATTGGCAGCAGCAGAGGCAACATTTTAAAAAGTGAGACTCCTAAACTGTCTTAAAACCATGGGAGAGTTGGAGCTGTCATAGAACCATATTATTATCTAATAATTGGGATCAATCTAAATTATTGTCTGTGGTAGTGAATAAATACACACAACTGCCACTTAAAAAAATCACATTTATTTATTTATTTATAGAATTTACATCATTTGTATAGATTTACTTTAAAAAATTGGGCATTTTCTTAATTTGATGGCCATATGTGCCTGGGTATGAACCATTACCTGCCATGTGTAATGGGAAGAAAAGCCAAAAACTAGGCCTTTTTTCCCCTGAAGGGATTTTAGCTGGAGGGATACTCACCTCTTCCTGATTGGTTGTTGTTCTGTCAGGCAACAAATTATGCCTGGGGTAGTAGGAATCGTCTCACAGGAGCAAAAAGAGAGTGGCGCAGACATCATTAAAATCCACATTTCCCCTTTTTATCAATTCTAATTTCAAAATAACCAAAATCCATTTTAGAAAAAGTTGCTAATTCACAAATTTTAACACATGCTCAAACAAATCAACATGATCTTAAACCTTATATGCCCCTAATTATTCTTTTAAGACTAACAAGAAGCCCAAACTGTCAGGAAAAAGCAGCAATATATTACACACACAAATAAAAGCATCCTTGCAACTTTTTCCTATTTATATAATTTTCTTGAACCGGTATGTGCTAAAATGACCTTACAGGGTTAATGAAATGCCACTCAGACCCTCATCGTCCTCTGTGGCCAGAATTTAAATGATATATGATAAATGACCCGCACTTGTATAGCGCATTTCGGAGTCTGAGGACTCCAAAGTGCTTTACACTACAGTATCATTCATCCATTCACACGCTGATGATGAAATACACTGTAGCCACAGCTGCACAGGGGCTCACTGACAGAGCAGGCAAGGTGAGCTAAGTGTCTTGCCTAAGGACGCAACAGCAGAAATCTCTATTGGGAGCTGGGATCAAACTTGCGACCTTCCAATTACTGAACAACTGCTCAGCCTCCTGAGC